TATTATTACTTTTGTCAGATTCTATATATATATATATAGATGGATGGATGGATGGATGGATGGATGGATGGATGGATGGATGGATGGATGGATGGATGGATGGATGTATGGATGTATGTATGTCATGTCTCATCAGTTCCCGTTCCCAGATATAAATACTAATTGGGAGCATTTCATTCCACTACAAAAAAAACTAGCAAGATGGAATTGGATTCCACAGATTTCTCAGCTTTACAAACGCATTCAAACTGCGATTTACCTGGATAGAGGATCCTGCTGATCATTCCAGGGAACACCATGAGGAACATTGGGAGCAGCTTGAGGTAGCCGCACACGATGCAGCCGGCCTTCACATGGGTGAGACTCCGAGCCGCAAGGCATCTCTGCACAATCACCTGGAAACGTGCCAGAGCATGAGGGACGGCTTGGAGTTCTTGGAGTCAGATTGACATGGTGCAGCGATCCCAATTAGGGGCGGAGCTTAGGGGTGCCAATCATATCCCAGCCCTGCCAGGTAAATCTAAATTCCCATCTGGACTAAATCACCAACTACTGAACATTTTCTATAAACAGAAGGTAGCAGCAGTTTTTTTTGTCCTAATGTGACATTTTCATTGTTAAAATAATAACCATAGACTGGCAACAAAAATGCAGGAATGGATCCTTTTCAAGACAGGTTTTTGTTTTCTAAGGTAGAAGCAGAGTGTATCACTGTAGTCATTGTAGTAATTAAAGAACTACTCAACCAATTTAATGTGTAAATTATTGAGAACCATAAATAATTATATATAATTATGTGTGCGGATTTATGAGCGAGGGCTTCATTAAATCCTGCTCTCTCTTCAATAATATTCTAGCCTCTCCACTAGTCTCATCTTCGATTACGAACGTTGGCGTGTTTTACTGCAGCTCAACAAAGACTGTGGGAAAGTAGATAACGAGGACACCGCTTCCCTAACATATTCACAGAGAAGCTCATTAAGAAATTGTCAAGGATTCTCCATTAGACTTGAAGCTGGACTTAAACTAGGACATTTTTTAACACATTAATATGCTTCGATCCAAAGCTATCTATTTTGAGTCTCTGGCCGTGATGGAAAAAGGTTTCCTTTCACAGTCCTTCTTCCAGGTTCCAAACAATTCTTCCCTGACTGTAGAAGAAAATTATCTTTATATGATGCTGCTACTATAGTTCATGCACACGTGTATGGCATTTATTTTAATTCAGCAACCTTTATGAAAGCAAAACAAGTGTTGGTGAAGTAAAACCTACATGCAGTTCCAGGAAGGGAAGATGCCAGTAATGGGAAATGACATGGAGTTCTGCTGTGTGAACAATCACTCCTAAGTGGGAAACTTTTATGACAGTTTCCAGTCATACCTGCAGTCACCTGCACTGGTTTGAACCACTTTAACCCGTTAACTGTCCCATCTGCAGGACAAATGTGGTGCTTATGGCCTCAACCCACCGTCTGCCATTACAGAGGTTTTATATGGCTGGCCAGATCATCCTATAGGTTAAAGATTAAGGGTTGATTTGTGACTTTTAGGTTTTTTTGGTGTTTTTTGTTGTGGCTAGTTAACAGGTTAAAAAAACAGAACTTAAAATTGTGGCTTTGGGTGAACAAACCACAAAGTTTCATGGAGCGTTTCCTCCAACCAAATAAGAACAGAGAGATGTCATGAAGCAGCACTACCAAACTCTACATGGGGAAATCCTTCCCAATGGAGGTTCCTATGACGCTGGAGGATAGATGTTTCAGGCTTGTTTGCTGCCTCAGTTTTCTCTGGTTGTATTTTTCAGGACCTGTTGAAGTTCAGATCACTGGAAACTCCCTGATCTGTGAAATCTTTGATCCCGAAGTGTAGTGACTATTTTCCACATGAGCGATTACCCCAAAGCTATAGCCCGTGAACACGGAACATTTCAGCGCCCTTTGCCCCAATCTAAAATCCTATAAATGTTCAACCACATAAAATGCTGTTGTATATAAAATCCCTTAAAACGTCATGCTTTTTTGGGCGGTGGGAAGGAGCAGAAGTACGTTGAGAGGAACCAGACATTCCTAAAGCCAGGACCTTCTTCCTGCAAGGCAACAGTTCTACAAAATACACCTCTATGGAGCCCAAATCCACCAAATGCTGAATGGAAATTACTTAACTTTACATGACATGCCTTGCAACCTGTAGGTTAGGATAAACCCAGAAATACCGGTTGATGCCATTTTATATATAAAAAAGGCATAATAAAAGATAATAAAATAGTTTTTCAACATAAAAACTTGCATAGTTTCAACAGGAAACCTGCTTTTTCAACATGTTTCTCTCCTGTCAGGGTCATGGTGGGGCCAGTGCCTATCCGGCAGTATATGGGTGCAAGGCAGGGTACATCCTGGACAGGTCACCAGTCTGTCGCAGGACAACACAGGCACACAACCGAGCACAAACAAACACACCATAAGGACAATTTAGAGAAGCCAATTAACCTAACAGTCGTATTTTTGGACTGTGGGAGGAAGCCGGAGTACCCGGAGAGAACCCAGGCCTGCTCAGGGACAGCATGCAAACTCCATGCAAATAGACCCCGGGCCAGGAATCAAACCCAGAACCTTCTTGCTGCAGGGCAACACCGCTACCCACTTCTCCATCATGCAGCCCATCTAACATCCAAACAACAGCAAAAAATATGCAAACATCAATCTGTTACACACATGTACACAGCTGAACTTTTACTGCCATTTTGCAATATTATTCTGCACTGTCAACAGGGTTGAATATTTTTAAACCCTTTCTGCTAGTGTTGCGCCGATGCCATTTTTTTGGCCCCGATACCGATACCTGATACATGGTTGTTGAGTATTGGCTCATACCGATACCATCTGTTTGAAACTGATGTGTGTGTGTGTGTATATATGAAGAACTGAATACTACATCATGGCTTTGTCAAGCTTTTTATTGCCTACCTGGAATGGGTGACAATAGTTGAATAACATTTTTCTCAAAATGGTATAGGGGCCCTAATTGTTGGTACTCGTCCATACCGATACATTTTAGTGCTGCATTGGGGCCCCGCCTGATACTGGTATCAGTATTGGTGCAACACTACTTCCAGAATAATTTTTTATTTTTGTACTGTCAACAGGGTTAAACATTTTTCAGCATTTTTTAAAATACTTCTGTAAGATAATCCATTCCTATCACTGCTGCACCTAATATTGTATTTCTATCTCATTTTTTTGCAATGTCATTGTATTGCTGTGAAAAATATGCAACAAAATGTCTTTCTGTGGGCGCCCTGTTCATACAAAATCAACATGAGCAAACCCCATAAAGAGCATCAAGTATTTCAAGAAATGTAATTTTTCTTCTAAATTCTTGAAAATGAATTAGCTATTTCTGGAAATAATGACTTTTTTGTTGATTTCTATTATATATTTAACAGCAGGCTTGTGAGGAACTGGCTGACTCAGCATTAAAAACAGAAAATCTGCCCTCAGTGTTGTTGCTCACCTGGTCAGAGCACCAGTACCAGATCCCCCCAATGGTCATCCCAAACACTACGCCGGGCCAGGGCAGGTCTCCTGTGGTGGGGTCCCTCAGCAGGCTGAAGGCATCCTGTCTGGGGGTGTAGCACTGGGGGGAGATGTTATAGCGCTGGATGTCCAGGGAGGAGATGTTGCTCGGTATCGCAGAGCTGTATTTTTCAAGCAGGGCGCCGTAGCCGCCGATCTCAGCAAAGGCTGAAGGTGAGAAACATCCCAGAGGCCATCTTGGTGTCAGATGGATGATCTAACTGCTGCCTTTCAGTTTCTCCTACCAACATTTCTGCTACACTACTAACAGCACATTGACCTTCTTTTTCACAGAAATCAGGAAAAACACAAAGGGGGCATTTTTGTTTTTAATTCCACCTTCACGTGCAGCATCAGCAGGACTAGCTTTGAAATCATAGGAGGGATTTTACTTACAGAACCCGGTGAGGACGAAGGCGCCAGCGATGATGACAAACGTCTGAAATGTATCAGTGTACATTAAAGCTGCAAGGCCCCCTGGGAACCATAGACAAAAAAAAATCCGACAGTTTGTTTTCATACAACTGAAATTGTTCAAAAGGTACAAACATCAAACAGATCTTATTTAAAGACTTGAATTTTAACAAATTATGCCAAAGTAGGTAAATAAGTCTCACAAGCTCATTGTTAGAGAACCTTTTTAAAAATAACAACCATTAGATGACATTTCACCTGCAAATGATTCCACTGAAATGTATAGAGGCGGACCTATGCTGCTGTGGGGCCTTGGGCGGTGTGTGTGGCATCAGAAACCAGGTTTTAAGACCAGGTTCTAAATAGAAACCTTTGGGCCTCTATCAGTTAAATCTTTGAAGTCATAAAAAAACAAAAAGGGCTTCACAATAAAAAAAGGCATAAAATCTGGATAAATCAACGAAAGGTAGATTTGAAAGACTATAATGATGGACATTAGCGACATGGCAGGGATGTGCAGCTGCAGGGTGTCAAGAGTAGATTTTAAATTCAATTCAGTTTATTTATATAGCGCCAATTCAGAACACGTCATCTCAAGGCACTTTAGAGTTCACCAGATCATCCAGTCAAATTGATTCAAAGTTTTCTATCTAAGGAAAACCAGTTGATTGCATCGACTCATTGACTTGAAGGCAATCCCTCACACTAAGCATGCTTGCAGCGACAGTGGAGAGGAAAAACTCCCTTTTAACAGGAAGAAACCTACAGCAGAACCAGGCTCAGTGTGAGCGGCCATCTGCTGAGGCCGACTGGGGTTCAAGGAGACAGAAGCAGAGAGACTATAAAGACAAGGATTCACACCCGTGGGGGAAATTATATCAGTAGCAAAACATATTTCTCCTTAAAAAATAACTGCCGCCCTGGACTCTTTATAATCCAACTAAAACAGATGTAATGTCCTCACAAATTCTTTTTGCAAACCTGTGCTGGATGCAGGGCTGGACTGGTCATTGGAGACACACGACATATGCCAGGTGGGGCGACGCCCAATTGTGGGTCGGCCCAATGCTGTCTTAATATAATTGAAAATGTGTTTATCATTCATTATTTATTATATAAACCTATATTAAATCAATTATCATTTTACTAAAAGATAATCAAATGAAGTGATTTATAATTTAGTTAAATCTCTGAAAGCAACATTCAGAAAAGGGTTTCTTTTGCATGATAAAGCTATTTTGTATCATTTGCCAACAATTTTGTATTTTCTGATTAAATATTTCTTAACAAAAATGCAAATCAGAGAATATCATAATTTATTTATTTATGCAGTCTTTTTACCAAATAGTTTTTTTGATTTATTGCGCTATACTGTATGTCTGTATATTTTTGTAACCTTTTTACTCAGGATGCTGCAGCTGCCTGTTGATCTCATTGTGAGGAAATTTTGAGACGTTCTTTGTCAGCAGCACGATTTCCTCATCTTTAAATGAATGGGCTCACATTGGAGGTTTTTACAGCTTTCAAGGTGAGATAAAGCTGTGAAAATATAACTTGAAGGTGTTACCATTTCCTATCCAGGCAAACATACCCGTCACAGTGTACAAGGCTGTGATTAACAGTAGGGCGATGATTGACACGTAGATATTCCAGCCCAAGGCCTGCTGGATGAACACGGCTCCAGAGAACATATCCACCTGAGGAGCAGCAAAGGAAAGCATTAGAACAAGAACAGGTGCAGCTTTGCTCGCTCTGCAGCACAACTCACTGAGATCTTGGTGAAAATGTACAGGAACAGAGAAATAACGGACAGGTAGAGGCTGATCCTGCTCCCGCCGAACCTCTTCTTCAGGTACTGTGGCATCGTGATCACCTAACAGACATCAACCCGTCATTTAAGGGGGATGGACATGGAGGGACGAGATGAACTTCTTACCTGGGCTGTGAGGTAGACCGGTACAAACAGCCAGCCCAGCAGCAGCACGATGAACAGAGCCTGGTAAATTAAAACAACATGAAAACACCTATAAGTCTGCATTCAGTTTCCCCCCTCCTCCTTTTTTAAATTTTTTTTTTTTACATTTCAGTATACCAGGTAAAAACTTATTTAGATTAAAACCTCTTTTCTGAAAGTGACCTGGCCAAGACAACAGCCCAAATAGATCGTTACAGAAAATAAAATAATGAAAATACTAGGGGTGAGTATTGGCATGGGTGTTACGATATATGTGTCACAATACGATATTATGGTGATATTGCAATATCGCTATATACTGCAATATTTAATTAATATTGTAATATATATAGATAAAAAAAGAAATTGCTGTATATGTTCAGCAGAAGATATTGATCATTGGGTTTGAGTCAGTCCATGTCTCGCACTGACTGTCTAAACTAAAGATATGGAGCTGCACCACACAGCAACATGGTGGTGCAAAGATTCTCCCTCATTGTTTTAGGTAAAAATGTTTTTAAAAAATCGATATTAGGAACTGAAAGGTCGATATTACAACAGGCAGCCAAAAATAATATATCGGCAAATTGATTTTTTGCACCACACCCCTAAAAATAAACACTTGTGGGACTAACATTTCAGAAAGTGCTGTCACAACATCATGGTTTTTACTCAGCTATTAATAAAAGATTTAAATTCCCCCCGAGATGAGAAAGTTCACAATTTCATGTCTTTTTGTGCATCATTCCAGCTGATGCTGCATCAGGATGTTTCCTGAGAAGGCAGGCCCTTCCATTAAAGTTTCTACACAAATGGAGACATCAATAGGTAGGGAGAGGTCAAAGAATAGGACAAATGTTTGCCATTAGGAGAATTTACAAGCGCAGAGGAATGGAGAACAGTGATCAAACTTGAAGCACAAACATTGTAAACATGATCCAGTTTCCTTTAAACTGACTCATTAAATGTTATCTAACTTGCAAAATAAAAAAGTATTTTTTTTGTAGAAGTGAAAATAAAGTTCAATTTAGACTTTTTATGGATGTGTAATTTAAAAGACATATTTAGCCACATTACAGCTGCAAACCTTTATTAGAATTATATGTGACAAATCAGAAGTCACTTATAATCTATATATATATATAAAAAAAAAAAAAAATCTTTGCCGGACGCTCGCGGACTTGTTTTTGAGCCCACAGCTGTGCAAGCTCCAAGCATTTTCTTTGTCCTGTAACGACCTGATCTGGAATAAACTCTGTTACTTTCTTACTCCTGTTTTTATAGTCCTTTTTTATATGGTTTTACCCAGTTTGAGTTAAGAGTAGTAAATAACTTGCTCCCAGGAAAAGAACCGGTAGGGAAGTTCCAAGGCGTAGCTGCCTTCAGGGGGACATAACTTCCATATTAACAATAAATGACAGAATAATGAAACAAATATTTAAAAGGTTGCTTAGGCTGCGATATATTTCTGCACAGCTTCCTGTATTCCTTCCTGAAGATAATTTGTTCTCTGATGTTCTCCAGCAAACCTCTGAGGCCTTCTCAGAGCAGTTCAGGTCA